TTCCAGAATGGACCCTTCGCCACAGCAAAACAGCACCTAATTTCGTGCCGAAACCGTGCTCAAACTTATCCACAAAAACTGCCTAACGTCCCTTCTGAATTCCTAGAAAAAATGTCTGTCTTTTTCTGTCTCCTGCAGCTCTTGTTTGGTGGCTGCAAGTTGCAAGCATCAGCCCTCCAGAACGGACCCTTCGCCACAGCAAAACAGCACCTAATTGCGTGCCGAAACCGTGCTCAAACTTATCCACAAAAACTGCCTAACGTCCCTTCTGAATTCCTAGAAAAAATTCTTTTTCTGTCTCCTGCAGCTCTTGTTTGGTGGCTGCAAGTTGCATGCAAGCATCAGCCCTCCAGAACGAACCCTTCGCCACAGCAAAACAGCACCTAATTGCGTGCCGAAACCGTGCTCAAACTTATCCACAAAAACTGCCTAACGCCCCTTCTCAATTCCTGGAAAAAATCTATCTTTTTTTGTTTTTTTGTTTCCTGCAGCTGTTGTCTGGTAGCTCCAAGCTGCAATCATCAGCCCTCCAGAACGAACCCTTTGCCACAGCAAAACAGCACCTAATTGCGTGCCGAAACCGTGCTCAAACTTATCCACAAAAACTGCCTAACGCCCCTTCTGAATTCCTAGAAAAAATTTCTTTTTCTGTCTCCTGCAGTTGTTGTTTGGTGGCTTCAGGCTGCAAGCAGCAGGCCTCCAGAACGGACCCTTCGCCACACCAAAACAGCATCTAATTGCGTGCCGAAACCGTGCTCAAACTGACCCACAAAAATGACCCTTCGCCACAGCAAAACAGCACCTAATTGCGTGCCGAAACCGTGCTCAAACTTACCCACAAAAACTGCCTAACGCCCCTTCTGAATTCCTAGAAAAAATTTCTCTTTTTTATTTTATTTGTTTCCTGCTGCTGTTGTTTGGTGGCTCCAAGCTGCAAGCATCAGGCTTCCAGAAGGAACCCTTCGCCACAGCAAAACAGCACCTAATTGCGTGCCGAAACCGTGCTCAAACTTATCCACAAAAACTGCCTAACGTCCCTTCTGAATTCCTAGAAAAAATGTCTGTCTTTTTCTGTCTCCTGCAGCTTTTGTTTGGTGGCTGCCAAGCTGCAAGCATCAGTCCTCCAGAACGGACCCTTCGCCACAGCAAAACAGCACCTAATTGCGTGCCGAAACCGTGCTCAAACTTATCCACAAAAACTGCCTAACGTCCCTTCTGAATTCCTAGAAAAAATCTCTTTTTCTGTCTCCTGCAGCTGCTGTTTGGTGGCTCCAAGCTGCAAGCATCAGCCCTCCAGAACGGACCCTTCGCCACAGCAAAACAGCACCTAATTGCGTGCCGAAACCGTGCTCAAACTTATCAACAAAAACTGCCTAACGTCCCTTCTGAATTCCTAGAAGAAATTCTCTTTTCTGTCTCCTGCAGCTGTTGTTTGGTGGCTCCAAGCTGCAAGCATCAGGCTTCCAGAACGGACCCTTCGCCACAGCAAAACAAGCACCTAATTGCGTGCCGAAACCGTGCTCAAACTTACCCACAAAAACTGCCTAACGTCCCTTCTGAATTCCTAGAAAAAATTGTCTTTTTCTGTCTCCTGCAGCTGTTGTTTGGTGGCTCCAAGCTGCAAGCATCAGGCTTCCAGAACGGACCCTTCGCCACAGCAAAACAGCACCTAATTGCGTGCCGAAACCGTGCTCAAACTTACCCACAAAAACTGCCTAACGTCCCTTGTGAATTCCTAGAAGAAATTCTCTTTTCTGTCTCCTGCAGCTGTTGTTTGGTGGCTCCAAGCTGCAAGCATCAGGCTTCCAGAACGACCCTTCGCCACAGCAAAACAGCACCTAATTGCGTGCCGAAACCGTGCTCAAACTTACCCACAAAAACTGCCTAACGCCCCTTCTGAATTCCTAGAAAAAAATTCTTTTTCTGTCTCCTGCAGCTGTTGTTTGGTGGCTCCAAGCTGCAAGCATCAGGCTTCCAGAAGGAACCCTTCGCCACAGCAAAACAGCACCTAATTGCGTGCCGAAACCGTGCTCAAACTTACCCACAAAAACTGCCTAACGCCCCTTGTGAATTCCTAGAAAAAATCTATCTTTTTTTTTTTAATTTCCTGCAGCTGTTGTCTGGTAGCTCCAAACTGCAAGCATCAGGCTTCCAGAAGGGGCCCTTCGCCACAGCAAAACAGCACCTAATTGCGTGCCGAAACCGTGCTCAAACTTACCCACAAAAATGACCCTTCGCCACAGCAAAACAGCACCTAATTGCGTGCCGAAACCGTGCTCAAACTTACCCACAAAAACTGCCTAACGCCCCTTCTGAATTCCTAGAAAAAATCTCTTTTTCTGTCTCCTGCAGCTGTTGTTTGGTGGCTCCAAGCTGCAAGCATCAGGCTTCCAGAAGGAACCCTTCGCCACAGCAAAACAGCACCTAATTGCGTGCCGAAACCGTGCTCAAACTTACCCACGAAAACTGCCTAACGCCCCTTCTGAATTCCTAGAAAAATGTTTTTCTCTTTTTTTGTCTCCTGCAGCTGTTGTCTGGTGGCTCCAAACTGCAAGCATCAGCCCTCCAGAACGAACCCTTTGCCACAGCAAAACAGCACCTAATTGTGTGCTGAAACCGTGCTCAAACTTACCCACAAAAACTGCCTAACGTCCCTTCTGAATGCCTAGAAAAAATATCTCTTTATTTGTCTCCTGCAGCTCTTGTTTGGTAGCTCCAAGCTGCAAGCATCAGGCTTCCAGAAGGGACCCTTCGCCACAGCAAAACAGCACCTAATTGCGTGCCGAAACCGTGCTCAAACTTACCCACAAAAACTGCCTAACGTCCCTTCTGAATTCCTAGAAAAAATATCTCTTTTTTTGTGCATCAGGCTTCGACTGGCTGCCTGCTACCTGCTTCTTGACTGCTGGCCCTGCTGGCTACTCGCTGCTGCTGGCTGCTACCTAGAGAATCCTAAATCCTAGGGAATCTCTTCGGGAATCCTAGACTACAAAAACGCGGGCCCCGGACTGCGAAACATCATATTGCTGCTGCTGCCTGCCTGCTGCTTACCCTTATAAGTACAAGCTGCATGGCTTTGTGACTGCCTGCTGCTGCCTACTGCTGCCTACTGCTGCCTGCTGCTGCCTGCTGCTGCTGCTGCTGTTGCTGCTGCTGTTGCAAGCTTCCAAATGGTCGGCGGAAAATGTCTTATTCCCTGGCGCGCTCCCCCTTGCGTCGGCCGGGGTCAACATGGCACACGGGTCTGCAACGCATGTCATGTGGCCACAGTCCAAGCTGCCATCCGCAAGCGTGCCGCAGCGTTGAATGCAGAACCCCAAAAAGGGCCTAACGTCACTTCTGAAACCCTACTATAAAATTGAAACTTTGCCGCTGCCTGCCGCTGCCTGCTGCTGCCTGCTGCCTGCTGCTGCCTGCTGCTGCCTGCTCCTGCCTGCTGCTGCCTGCTGCTGGCTGCTGCTGGCTGCTGCCTGCTGCTGCCTGCTGCTGCCTGCTGCTGCCTGCTGCTGCCTGCTGCTGCCTGCTGCTGCATGCTGCTGGCAGAAGCTGCTTGCTGCCTGTTGCTGCCTGCTGCTGGTGCTGCTACTGGTGGCTGCTCCTGCTGCTGCTGCTGTGGTGCTGCTGTGGTGCTGCTGTGGTGCTGCTGTGGTGCTGCTGCAATCAAACAGCCTCCAAAGCAAGAAACAAACAGCCAGACACCCTTTTCGAAACACATCCGAAAGAGCAAAAACGTAGCAATGGAACCCCAAAAAAGGGCCTAACGTCACTTCTGAAACCCTACTATAAAATTGAAACTTTGCCGCTCCTGCTGCTGCCTGCTGCTGCCTGCTGCTGCCTGCTCCTGCCTGCTGCTGGCTGCTGCTGGATGGGAAAACACCATGGCAGTGAAGGACGGAGAAACCCCAAAATTGCACCCCATAAACGCCTAACGAAAACGCATAGAAAATGATGATTTTGGTTGCTTTTTCCTCTTGCTGCTGCTATGAATTTTGGCTACCTTTTCCTCCTGCTGCTGCAGAGGCTTTTGCTGCTGCTGCTGGTCCCCGACCCGTTGTTGTATTTCTTGTTGTCCACAACCTCTCTTCCCTGACGCGCTCCCCCTTGCGGTCGGCCGGGGTCGGCGGATATATACTCTTTTCATTGAGATTTGGGGAGGGCTTGCGTTGGTTGCAGTGTAGAATCAGACCTTGGGGTTGTGGCAAGCCATCAGCAAGCTGGCTGGGGGGCAGGTGTTGCCGACAATTTATATATACTCTTTTCATTGAGATTTGGGGAGGGCTTGCGTTGGCGGCACAAACACACATGCAAGCAGACTGGGCTCTATAATATGCCCAACACAGTTTTTGCAACTGCTGGAAAAGCGAGAGAGGTCAATGTCTTCTGAACTGCTTTAGTCAGAAAGCGCACACGGAAAATATCAACACGAGCTCACAAAAGATTCGAGACACGCGTCCGCTGTATAGGCTTTGGCTCTGGATGTCTTGTCCAAAGAGGTGGAAGTTGAGGCATGGCCTGCTTGATGTGGCGTTTCCAGCAGCTTCAATCAACACATGCAATTGATTGCATTGTATCTTTCATAAATCGACTGGACAGGAAGAGGTTGACCCTCTGTCCATTGCTGCAGAGGACAGCCGTTTGATGTGGGCACTGTTTTGTGTGGTATTGCAATGTATTGCAGTGTAGAATCAGACCTTGGGGTTGTGGCAAGCCATCAGCAAGCTGGCTGGGGGGCAGGTGTTGCCGACAATTTATATATACTCTTTTCATTGAGATTTGGGGAGGGCTTGCGTTGGCGGCACAAACACACATGCAAGCAGACTGGCCTCATAATATGCCCAACACAGTTTTTGCAACTGCTGGAAAAGCGAGAGAGGTCAACGTCTTCTGAACTGCTTTAGTCAGAAAGCGCACACGGAAAATATCAACACGAGCTCACAAAAGATTCGAGACACGCGTCCGCGGTATAGGCTTTGGCTTTGGATGCCATGTCCAAAGAGGTGGAAGTTGAGGCATGGCCTGCTTGACGTGGCGTTTCCAGCAGCCTCAAGCAACACATGCAATTGATTGCATTGTATCTTTCATGAATCGACTGGACAGGAAGAGGTTGACCCTCTGTCCATTGCTGCAGAGGACAGCCGTTTGATGTGGGCACTGTTTTGTGTGGTATTGCAATGTATTGCAGTGTAGAATCAGACCTTGGGGTTGTGGCAAGCCATCAGCAAGCTGGCTGGGGGGCAGGTGTTGCCGACAATTTATATATACTCTTTTCATTGAGATTTGGGGAGGGCTTGCGTTGGCGGCACAAACACACATGCAAGCAGACTGGGCTCTATAATATGCCCAACACAGTTTTTGCAACTGCTGGAAAAGCGAGAGAGGTCAACGTCTTCTGAACTGCTTTAGTCAGAAAGCGCACACGCAAAAGTATCAACACGAGCTCACAAAAGATTCGAGACACGCGTCCGCGGTATAGGCTTTGGCTTTGGATGCCATGTCCAAAGAGGTGGAAGTTGAGGCATGGCCTGCTTGACGTGGCGTTTCCAGCAGCCTCAAGCAACACATGCAATTGATTGCATTGTATCTTTCATGAATCGACTGGAATGGAAGAGGTTGACCCTCTGTCCATTGCGGCAGAGGACAGCCGTTTGATGTGGGCACAGTATTGTTTGGTAAAGTATTGCGGTGGAGAACCGACGTGTGAGTCGTATCTGCAAGCTTGGTATTGGCAGGCTGTAGGAGAAACAAGAAAGTCAATCTTGAGAGTTGTGTTTTGAGTGCTGGTACAGTTTCTCAAAGAGGCTCCACACAAACACAGAGACAGACCTGGCTCTCCGAACAATGAGAGCAATGAGACCGCAGTTTGCCTGACTCAGAATGAATGCCTGGCTTAGGGTGTGTTTCAGTTGGGAAGTAAAAATTAGAGGGTTTGTATGCATGCTGAATCACACAGAAACGCAGAACAGTGCCTGTTGCAGAGGCTTTGGCTTTGGATGCCATGTCCAAAGAGGTCGAAGTTGAGGCATGGCCTGCTTGACGTGGTGTTCCGAGCATGAAGTGTTCCAAAGCAGCCTGGCTCACGTAAAAGAAACAACACACATACACAAATCAAAGAGGACTTACCGTGTTTTCTTTGTTTTTTTCGATTTCGTTTTGTTTTTTTCATTTTCTATATTTTTGTGGCGGTTTGGTCCGTTTTCCTGTTGTTTTTGCGGTTGTTTACTGTACTTTTTTGCATTGCTTTTTGTGTTTATTTTTTTCCTATTTAGTCTATTGTTTTGCTATTTTGGATTTGCTATTTTTGTTGCTTTATTTTTCTTGTATTTTTTAAAGCATGTTTTCCTTTTGAAACCACCTAATGTTTGGCCTTGAAGGTTGAAAGTGTAACACTGAACAGTTCATTGAATCGTCATCTTTCATGAATCGACTGGACAGGAAGAGGTTGACCCTCTGTCCATTGCTGCAGAGGACAGCCGTTTGATGTGGGCACTGTTTTGTGTGGTATTGCAATGTATTGCAGTGTAGAATCAGACCTTGGGGTTGTGGCAAGCCATCAGCAAGGTGGCTGGGGGGCAGGTGTTGCCGACAATTTATATATACTCTTTTCATTGAGATTTGGGATGATTTGGGGGGGGCTTGCGTTGGCGGCACAAACACACATGCAAGCAGACTGGACTGGGCTCTATAACATGCGCAACACAGTTTTTGCAACTGCTGGAAAAGCGAGAGAGGTCAATGTCTTCTGAACTGCTTTAGTCAGAAAGCGCACACGGAAAATATCAACACGAGCTCACAAAAGATTCGAGACACGCGTCCGCGGTATAGGCTTTGGCTTTGGATGCCATGTCCAAAGAGGTGGAAGTTGAGGCATGGCCTGCTTGACGTGGCGTTTCCAGCAGCCTCAAGCAACACATGCAATTGATTGCATTGATTTGCATTGTATCTTTCATGAATCGACTGGACAGGAAGAGGTTGACCCTCTGTCCATTGCTGCAGAGGACAGCCGTTTGATGTGGGCACAGTATTGTTTGGTATTGCTTTTGAGATCTCTTAAGTGATGTTTCTGCCGGCAACACACACACACTTTTGCAGGCAGACTTGGCTCTATAACGAGCTCAATAGCAGTTTTTGCACTTGTTGGGACTGCACGTCTTTGTTGGAATACAACTGGTGTATCAGTGCCTTAATGACAAGGCTGAACCAAGAGAGAACCGACACCCAAATGGCGAAGGACATTGGACTAGTGTAATATAGTGTAATACATTATATCCTCATGACATCCCATTAAACATCCTGCCTGAGAGGCTTTGGCTTTGGATGCCGTGTCCCAAGAGTTGGAAGTGGAGGCATGGCTCGTTAGAGCACCGTGTGAAGGGCTTGGTAGCAATGATGGGAGGACAAAGGATACGGAACAGTTCTGGAACAGAAAAGGCGTTCTTTTTTATTCCCTGAGATTACATGCAAGTCGCGTCCTGAGCCACTTTGAATGCGCAAGGCCGAGCCAGAAGAAGAACCAGAAGGCACTTACGGCAATGACGGCATCTATAGTTTTTGGGCAATCCAATTCTGATTCTAATCCGATTCTAATTGATGATGCATGGACTTTGATACAAGCTCCACATATGGACCATTGGAAGGACCTGCGAAGGAAGAGGACTGTGGCCACTGGCAGCTTTGCAACTCCAGTGCTCTTCTTGGGTTTGTCTGAAAATGAGGTATCCTGCAGGTATCCTGAATTCTGAAGGATTGTCAGTTTTGGGTATCACTTTTGGGCACCCATGTGACACATACAGTACGGCCTGATCATCAAAGCGAGTAGTGCAAAAATGTGACACTTCTGCGAGCGGAAAAATATGGCAACTTTTTTTACAATTCCCTAAGTCTAGCCGCCTATCCTGGGAGCTGCACATGATGGTACAGTTGGGTCTTGTGAACAAAGAGAGGTTTGTTTGTCGAGTGCACAGCAAGGGGATTACTCGTGGCATTACGGATGTCATCACAGATTTCCCTGCTTGAACTAGCTGTGCTGTAGCTGTGCCGTAGCTGTGCCGTAGCTGTGCCGTAGCTGTGCCGTAGCTGTTCTTGTCCACTCCGGTCGCAGGACATCGTGTCGCCATTCCTGCAGCCGAAAAAACCAAGACACGTGCGTCCACCTGCAGGATCAGGAACAGCAGCATTGTGCAAGATGCAACAATGAAGTGAATCTCAAGAAAGAATAACAGAGAGAGAGAGAGACAGAGACGTTCAAGCAAGACAATCTTCCTCATTGTGACTTTGCAGCTTGACACTGGACGAACTCTTGGATGCTCTTTGAAGGGCATGGGCCATCACCAAACAGAGGCTACTTTTGACCATGGGGATCGAATCAGTTTATCACCTGTATCCCATCCTATCCCTACTGTGATGTGGGGTGAGACTCTTGAATGCATGTCTTAAGAGAAACAGGCGCTGCTGCAGCAGTGGCGCACCGACTTGCACAACACACCATTGAAGGCACTCTGGTGACCTCTGGTGACCTATGGTGTACTTTGTGGCATGCTCTTTTGACATCTTTTGACTGAGAATGATCACATTATGATCACTATGATCACTTGGCCATGAGACCAATCCATGAGACCAAGCAGTCACACAGCTCTCACCATATCAGGTTTGATGAAGTTGCACGAGCAGGAGAACCGGGAGCTGGAGGCACGGGGCCAGATATCACCAGATATCACTGTTGTTTGTGAACCTTGACACCTTACCCATAGTACAATGCCTTACAAATCCTCCGGATCCAAAGTGACATGATCTAACAGCCTCTATGGCATAGCTATGGCACATTGGGATCTAAAGCCTGCAATGACACGGCTTGGCAGGCGATTGTGAAAGAGAAATTCTACACGCCTGCTCCTGGCACAAAGCTACCGACTGCCGCTTGTCACAGCAGATGTTGCCTGAATCGGGTTTGAATCGAGGAGCGTGCGCTGAGGTTATCCAAAGGTTATTCCATGATTTTTCTTGGCACATCTTGGGGAATCCTAGGGGTAACGATGGGTAACGATGAGTAACTGGTATTGAAAATTGGGAGTGTTCCATGGCTTCAGGTGCTGAGCTTGCCATCGCTTCCTATGGATCCTAGAAAGGTTGGACACCTGGGAGTTCCATAGAGTTCCCACAGTCACAAATTCACAATTCCTGCGAAGGCCAATGATGAGACAAAACGAATCCTTCGCTTGAACTATCACAGGTGCGAATCACTGCTACTGCTGTGTGAAAAATAGTGAAGCTGCATATTTTCTAGCGATGGAAGTCATTGGCCTTTGGTTGCAGGGTGGTGGGTCAGCCTAATGCATACCATCAACATAGACCAAAGTGAAATGCTCAGCTGCACAAAGTTTGGTGAGCTTTGGTGACCGACCAGTCAATGTAGCATGAACTAGACGACTAGATTGTACGTAGCAAACCGTGCTCGTTAGAGGCTTGGTCAACTCCGTAGGTTTTTGTTCAAGGCTCTTTCTTATCTTTCTTGCCAGGGGAGATATGAAACATATATTATCATACATTGTTATATATTGTATTATATTGTTATATTATGTATTATTATGTCAGTATACTAAATGTAATTCATTGTCAGTTCATGTCTGCTTTCTTTTTTGAAAACTTAACTTACTGTCTGCACGGTCCCAGACGCAAAGTTACTGACCACCTCCCGAGGTCAGCCATGGACATGGATCTCGGAGAGGAGCGAAATGGCAGCACTCGCAGGGCAAGAACAAGGGGAATCTGATGGGACCTGACATTAAAAATGTCAGTCCACCAAAGATAGATGATTTAAATTATGTATATGATACATGACGATAAACACACATATATATAATATGTATATATATATATAGAATAATGTACATATATGCATAGGACGATACATGTAGATATTTGATGGCCAAAACATCATCCAATCTCATCCAGTTGTCTATCCATCCAGGCCATTTAGCGATGCAATGCGTTGTCAGGACCTGAAATTGCACCATGATCCAGAGCTGCAGGAAAAACGTTTCCTCAGGCAACGAGTGTTTGGCTCAGCTTGCAACAGATGCTGTTCTGCTCGTCATGAACACACAAAAAAACGGTCAGGAAAACAAACTGTTTCAAAGAGCTGAATCGAAACGTGTGTTGCAGAGATCTGTGAACCGGATCCCAAATTGCAAGGTCACATACCAAGCGGTGCCTGGGAATTACCTGAACAACTGCAAGGACTCTTCCTTGTGGTGCCTTTAAATACATGTTCCGGATGTGCTATCCGCTGGCTCTAGCTCTAGCAGGGACATGGCTGTGTGTCAGGCCAACGTCTCACCGGCAAGGGCTGGCATCTCCAAGAAGATCAAACCTCTGGCAGTATCTCAGAGTGTGTGAATCTCAGACTATACGTAATTGGCACTGTTCCATATAGTATCTTTCAGTATCTTTCAGTATGTTTCAGTATCCTTTAGTTTTCAGTAGTTGCACAGTTGCGCCGCAGATCGCCGCAGTGTATCCTGGCACTCTTCATGCAGCCTGGCTGATCACTGAGTCACCGCATTTGCCGCCCGCCACTGGAGCCGAACGACGGCCTCCGAAGCTGAGGCCGAATAGATTTAGGAATTTCGTAGATTTCATATGATTTCATCAATTTCATCCTGAACATCTATGTAAGCATATCTAAGCCACATGCCCTGAAGTTGTGACTCTTGATGAAAGATCTCATATACATGCCATGATCATCATGACAATGCAAAGCTTGCTCATCCAACAAGTGACATAAAGTGACTTCATGGCAGGCCGCTTGCAAAGGGGGCAGACAATCTGCGAAAATTGGCAGATGGCTTGGACCTAAGTTGCTGGGAGTCAAGTCCTTCCTGCTCCCAATGATGCGTGAGACGCTTGTTGTTTGATGACTTCCAAACGCTGTGAAGTGGGGCCTTTTCATGCCCTTTCATGCCTTTTCTGACTCCCAAAACAGATCAAAAACACGCATAGATCCCAAGTGTCGCAAATTCACAGTTCCTTTTTTGGCCTTTGGCATTGAAGATTGCTGGGTCTAGTGGAACCCTGCTTCGAAGGTGCACTTCCATCGCGGATTTTACGGCCGTAAGGGTCGTTTGCTCTAGGCTGTAGTTCTGCGGGCTGTAGGCTTGGTGCTGGAATTTCCCGAGAACCATTTCAGGGAAGACTGGAAAGGCAGAAAATGGCAAAAAATGGCAGCAACACTTTTCTCCATGAGCGCCTTTTTATAGCTCCAAGCCTTGCACAGTCCTTGTTCATAGATGAGTAGACAGTGACAAGGCGTTCTTTCGCAGTCACCAAGACGGATGCTTTTGAAAGAAGTGCTCGCAGCTACTTGTTTGAAGTGGCCATACGTTTGAAAGCCAGCCGCCAAATTATTTAAACTGAGATGAGTGTCGTGTTTAACAAAATTAGCAATGTAGCTGAATGAGATTGAACGAAAGCTCACACAACCACACTTGCAGTTCTACAGGGTCCTTGATTTTTTCCGAGCAAAACCTGTTTGAACTGCAGAACATTCGTTGCTTCAGCTGCCGTTTTGGTGATTTTGGTGGGGCTGGCCACCCAAAGCTAGGAGAACCATTCTTGAAATATCTTGAAATGATGAACTGATGAACTCCAAACATCCGGGGCCACGCTGCCAGGTTCACTGCCCTGCTTACATCCTGCGCTATGATTCTCCAGACATCATTGAAAACTCAATCATTGATTGCCATAGACAGGCAGGACCTTGCATGAACTCGTTGACAGGAAAGACGATAGAAAGTCAACACTTTTCGTTTTGTAATGTTTTGTATGTTTTTGTCCTGTTTTCTTACTCTGCAAAACATGGAGATTTGACAAGGCTCGCTACTTGTCCTTCCAGCAGCAGTTTGGGGAGCTTCAACCCCATGAACAGCTGCGAGAGGACCTGGCTGCAAGCGGTTTTGGTCGTTTGATGGTTGTGACATGTTGTAACAGTTGATTTACAGTATATATATATACAAATGTATATATCATGATACATGTTAATATATGTATATATATACATGAATCCTGTTTGTAAAAACATACAATTGATATGCAACTGATAATATATGTATATATATAGTTACATATCACACACATATATATATACATACGCAGTGGACAAGAATCTAAGAAACACTTGATAATTTAAGAATTAAGACATGCTGAGATATTCCTTTGGCTCAAGCTTGTAGTTTGCTCCGCCTTAGATCATCTAGTCGACTGCTTTCAGCATGGCTCTCCCAATGAAGTCCGCAATGAAGGCCATGAAGGCCATGAAGGCGATGAAAGCAACGACGATGAAAGCTCGTGTCATGAAGAAGAAGGCAGTGAGCAAAATTGCTCGAGGCAAGCGTGCCAAGATCGCCGTCTTCAAGGGCAAGAAGGAGAAAACTTCCTCTGGACACACACGCAATGATCTCATGATCAACAAGAGAGGAAAAGTCGTGAGCAAGAAGGCCAGTGCTGCGGCCAAGAACCGCTTCAAGAACATCTCCGGCTGGAACAACGCAGTGATGCAGGCCAGGAAGGAGTTGGGCATCAAAGGTTTTTGTGCTGTGAACGGAAAGACGGCGCAGGGCAAGGCTCTCTATGTGAAAGCCAAGGCACTTTATGCCGCATGAGCACTTGGCAGATCCAGCTTTCGTGGTAGTTCACGGAGCACGGAATCCTGTCTTTGTATCTTTGCTGCTGACAGATTCTGATTGAGCTCAGCATGTATAGCCAATGTAGCTGAGCTGGCACTCTGATCATCTACAGCAATCTGGAAGTTGGACAACAAAAAAAGGGTCGTGGAGAAATGTATGTGCATAGATGGACGCGTCTACGCCCCAGCCTTCATGTCGCAAACAGCTCTGCCAACCATTGGACATATGGACATACATTGGCTGGCAATTCCTGGACAATTATACTATTCTATTCAAGAAATCAACCTTGATGCATTAGCGAATGTAGCATGCTTGTCCATACAGAACTGTAGATCCCCTTTTTCATCTTGTTTTAGACTTGGAAAGTAGCACTCACCTGTCTGAATTTCGCTCTGCGTGAGTTTTCTTTGATTGTTTGGCCTTGCAATCCTTGTCGGCCGGTAGCCGCCTAAAACTTCTCCTATGCAGGACCGATACATTTACAAAGCTGTTGAGCAGGCGAGACTGGACAAAGAAGTGGAGGACCATGTAAACAAACTTCTTGTGCGCTGGAGATCATTTGGTTGCTACATGCATCTACATGCCATCTTGATTTGTAGTTCCTAACTTCTGCGTGACACTTCACCAATGACAGCAATCTGCGCAAGGCCTGCGGTCAGCTGCTGTCTATGTTGGAACCTCCGCCACACGACATGCAAGAGTACCTGGATTCAACGGAGTCCACTGGTGCTGACGGTCAAGAGCTCAAAGCTGCACCTGGCTTTTGATTTTGCACAGCTTTGAGGTTTTTTGATGCTCTCGAGATCTCACGAGGTATTGCTGTTGTTTGCAAAGAGGGCGAGCCCATGTTGTTAGTGGAGCGAAAGACTGTTTCAGATGCCATCAGATTCCTCAATCTCAGTGTTCAGTTCATGTGCAGCCGCTTTTGTGCTGATGTGAACATCATACGATTGCCATTGATTGCCTGTATTTATATAATTTAAAATACCTGTTCAAAATGTGTTGAATGACTGGATGACCGTATATATGTTTGCAATAACTGAGGCATCACTGCCGTGTTGGTCCGCGAGATCAAACGCGAGCGGGTGCAATGCTGACCAAACACGGAGCAAAGCAACACAATTCACGATGATTGTTGTGGCTTTGCAGCCTGTTGATGCCTGTTGTCAAATTGTGTCAAAACTACTGCTGTCACAATCGCTTCCCAATGACACGACCTCAGGTTTTGCTGTTGCGATGTGTACAAGCGTTCCAGCAGCGGCAGCAGGCACTTCCGGATGCTGCAAAAGCAAAGGGCATCAAAGGGCAAAGGGTTTCCGATTCATTTCGTTGTTGGAGCTTGCAAGGTCGTCAGGTCGTCAGGTCATCCATTCTTTTCAGTTTTTCACTGTCGAGATCTGTCGAGAGTGCTTTTTATGGACTGCCAAGCATGCTGAGCGACGGCAGGAAGCAGACCTGAGACCGGTTCCCACCACTCTGGCAGAACCTTTGGCTCGGCTCAGAAGCGGCCAGGTGCACGATGCGACTTGCAGTGGTGGCAGGGCACAAGAGTTCTAAACCCGCAAGGGAGATTTGCACAAAGATCAAAAAAGAGGTCAAGGTAAAACGGGCAATTTTTCCTGCAGCCCTGGCCATTCTGACACTATACAAATCTGTGCACTCTTTTAGAATTTGAAAGTCTTGAAATCTTGCAACTCTTTCCAGAGTCCTGCAGCGGGCAAACTGCTGGACCAGGCAAACGGGCCAGATGTGACCCAGGCACTGCAATCTGGACATGTGCTGTCATGTGCAGTGGATACGTCTAGATACAATACGTTGCAACTGTGTGGTTTTTCAAGATTTTTGAACCAGAAATCTCCGTACCATGCGATCTAAACTGGCTTTTGCACACACTCGGCCAACGGCACGGCTCCTGTCGCAGCTATTTGTAGGGTGCTCGCCTGTGCTTGATCAACCTACCTTGATCCAGGAAGGAAAGGTACAATTTGACACTGTGCGCAGACACAATTTTCTGATCAATGCAGTTACAGCCAGTCACATTCATGAAACTTGGGCAGACTGCTACCTGCGATCCTGCTGCATAGATGGTGCTGCCAATGTTGGTGATGAATTGCATGGAAACAGAACAGATGACAACCAAAGAAACAAAGTGATAAACAATGATCAACAAAACAAGGAACGAAGCACCCCTCTGGCTCACTCCTCGCCCTGGTTGGGGGCCAACGGGCCAACTGCCATTTTGTCTCAATGATGCGCTTCTTTGGACGTTCGACCGGGAGCTCCCAGGACAGATGTGCTGTGGTAGACATGCGAGGACATGATATATATATATGTAGTGTGTATATATTATATACATAGAGATGTTTCAAATATATAGAATATAGAATATAGAATATAGAATATAGAATGTGCATGTATTATATATATATTTTATGTAATATTCATACATAGACATGACATGCGTCATTGAAAAATGCTCCTTATAACAAGGAATGGCATGAATAGACATAGGAGGGATAAAGATTGAGGAGCTCTGCACCTGTGGCGGTGTCTGCTCTGTACAGGAGCCTCTTCCGGACACCACTGAAGTCACAACAGACCATGGCGGGGTTCTTGGAATACCTTTGAAGTCGTTGACAGAACTTCACTCAGCTCACCCCGTCAGGTTTAAGCACAGTTCAGGAAGACGAGAGTGGCTACCTGAGTTGGATTAGCAATTACAGATAGCTTTCCAGAATTCTCGGCTGCGCTTTGCGTTTAAACATTGTTAACAATATATTGAAATGGATTGAAATCGCAAAACCGCTGAAAGGAAGGCTGGAAAGGGTATGAGGAGGTGGTAAAGAGGAAGTTTCTCCAAACTTTGTTTCGGCATTGGCAGCTTGAGTGAATCAGCAAGACGGCATCCGACTTGCCAAGTCGAAGATGCTTTTGCACAGGGCAAGGCGAAAGGCGGGCCAGGACTGCTGTGTTAGAGTTTGGCATACACCAGTGCCATTATGGCAAATCTATCAGTCTACGGGGCAAGGGCAGCATTTCTGAGAGGCTCTCCTGCCTATGTGACAACCACGGTGCTGGCAGAATCTTGTCAGTTCAGGCTGCAATTCCAACAGCAAATTAGATTGCTCAAGATCTTGTGGGGTGATCACATGTAATGACTTTCAGCGATGTGTTGGATGTAAATTTTTGGTTGTCCCTTTTGCTTCTGAGTGATCTAAGGATGAAGCACCAAAGGATGCCTTCAAGCTGCCTGTACCTGCTATGCCAAAGGAGTGAAGAAGTAAAGATTTCAACTCTAACTGTCTATGTAAGCAACATGGACATCCTATTATTGCATCTATTTGCTGAGTGATTCAACTTTATAGCTTTCTATTCTGGCAAGGATCTCACAGGTAAAATAATTTGAGAGAAACTCAGAAAGTCTCATACTATGACTCTCGGACTCTGTCAGAAACTCTGTCAGGACTGGCGCAACATTAGCACCCCCTCCAACTCCTTCGGGCAGGGTGCTGAGATTTAGCTCGGAACTCCGACTTGGGTGTCACAGCGACCTCGTTGAGCTCGTTAGCCTCCACACTGTAAAAAAACTGTAAAAAACAATTTTCTTGCTGCACTCTGCTGCACTCTATCAAGTATATCAAGTGGTTTCCTGCTTCTTTCTTTGCTCGACTCAACTTGTTAGATTATATAGATTCAGACAAAACACGCTGCTTCCAGAGCATTGCAGGGCCGAATATATAAAAGTTGCACATGCCGTTTATCTGTGTTGATGATGCATCGTTCTATTCCAGGATCCCCATATGTATATATATATATACACGTATATTCATATATATATACACGTATATATACGTGTGTATATATATATACATATACGTATATACGTATATATATATATACATATATATGTATGTATATATATATATGTATATATGTATATCTATACATATATACATATATATATATATATTTAAGGGCTAACGCCCCTCGTCGGCTCCGCCGGATTTCTCGGCCCTCCATTTCATCGCAGTGTGGGGGCTGGAAAGCTTTTGGATGGGGACCTGCTTCAGAAACATATTCCTTACGTTTTTTGAAAAAAAAAAGAACAGGAACTTTGTTGGAAATAGACGGCTTTTTTGGGGAGCAAGTGAGTGCCCGAAAGCTCCTGCCAAGGGTTTTTCCCGAAGAACTGCTGCCAATTTCAACTTGTGACTTCATGTCAAGACGCCTCTGTGCAAAGACTTCTCTGTGTAAAAGCTTTTGTGTGTAAAAGTTTCTGTGTGTAAAAACCACTTTGTGTAAAGACTTCTTTGTGTAAAAGCTTCTATGTGTGAAAGCTTCTCTGTGTGAAATGTCTGTGTAAAGATTTCACTGTGTGTAAAAGCTTCGGTGTGTAAAAACTCTCTGTGTAAAGTGTAAAGGCTTCTCTGTGTAAAAGCCTCTGTGTGTAAACGCGTCTGTGTGTGAAAGCTATATATCTGTGTAAAGACTTCTTTGTGTAACAGCTTCTGTGTGTAAAGGCTCCTAGACGTTTGTGTGCAAAAGCTCCTTGGAGTAAAGACTTCTCTGTGTAAAACCTTCTGTGTGTAAAAAGCTCCTTTGTGTAAAGACTTCTCTGTGTAAAAGCCCCTGTGTGTGTAAATGCTTTTGTGTGTAAAAGCTCCTCTGTGTAAAGGCTTCTCTGTGTAAAAAAAGCTTCTGTGTGCAAACACGTCTGTGTGTAAAAACCCTCTCTGTCAGGCCTTCTTCGTGTAAAAAGTTTTGTGTGAAAAAGCTCCTAGACGTTTGTGTGCAAAAGCTCCTTAGGGTAAAGACTTCTCTGTGTAAAACCTTCTGTGTGTAAAAAGCTCCTTTGTGTAAGGACTTCTTTGTGTAAAAGCCCCTGTGTGTGTAAAAGCTTGCTGTGTGTAAACGCTTTTGTGTGTAAAAGCTCCTCTGGCTGAAGGCTTCTCTGTGTAAAAGCTTTTGCGTGTAAAAGTTTCTGTGTGTAAAAACCACTTTGTGTAAAGACTTCTTTGTGTAAAAGCTTCTGTGTGTGAAAGCTTCTCTGTGTGAAAGCGCGTCTGTGTAAAGATTTCACTGTGTAAAATTCTCTGTGTAAACGCTTCTCTGTGTAAAAGATTCTGTGTGTAAACGCGTCTGTGAATGAAAGCTATATATCTGTGTAAAGACTTCTTCGTGGAACAGCTTCTGTGTGCAAAGGCTCCTAGACGTTTGTGTGCAAAAGCTCCTTAGAGTAAAGACTTCTCTGTGTAAAACCTTGCGGCCAGGTTTTGGCAAAAACGGCCGTTTCCCAATGATCCCCGAAGAGAAATTCAATAGCCGGCCGAGGGGCCGCCAAATGGCAGAAATTTGCTTCCAAAAGGCTCCCGGCCAGGATTTGGCCAAAAACGGCCGTTTCCCAATGATCCCAGAAGAGAAATTCAATAGCCGGCCGAGGGGCCGCCAAATGGCAGAAATTTGCTTCCAAAAGGCTCCCGGCCAGGATTTGGGCAAAAACGGCCGTTTCCCAATGATCCCAGAAGAGAAATTCAATAGCCGGCCGAGGGGCCGCCAAATGGCAGAAATTTGCTTCCAAAAGGCTCCCGGCCAGGATTTGGCCAAAACCGGCCGTTTCCCAATGATCCCAGAAGAGAAATTCAATAGCCGGCCGAGGGACCGCCAAATGGCAGAAATTTGCTTCCAAAAGGCTCCCGGCCAGGATTTGGCCAAAAACGGCCGTTTCCCAATGATCCCAGAAGAGAAATTCAATAGCCGGCCGAGGGGCCGCCAAATGGCAGAAATTTGCTTCCAAAAGGCTCCCGTGTGTAAAAAGCTCCTTTGTGTATAGACTTCTCTGTGTGAAAGCCCCTGTGTGTGTAAAAGCCTGCTGTGTGTAAATGCTTTTGTGTGTAAAAGCTCCTCTGTGTAAAGGCTTCTCTGTGTAAAAGCTTCTGTGTGCAAATGCGTCTGTGTGTAAAAACCCCTCTGTGTAAAGACGTCTTCGAGTAAAAAGTTCTGTGTGAAAAAGCTCCTAGACGTTTGTGTGCAAAAGCTCCTTGGAGTAAAGACTTCTCTGTGTAAAACCTTCTGTGTGTAAAAAGCTCCTTTGTGTAAGGACTTCTCTGTGTAAAAGCCCCTGTGTGTGTAAAAGCTTGCTGTGTGTAAACGCTTTTGTGTGTAAAAGCTCCTCTGTGTGAAGGCTTCTCTGTGTAAAAGCTTCTGTGTGCAAACGCGTCTGTGTGTAAAAAGCCCCTTAGAGTAAAGACTTCTCTGTGTAAAAGCTTCCGTGTGTAAAAAGCCCTTTGTGTAAAGACTTCTCTGTGTAAAAGCCCCTGTGTGTGTAAAAGCTTGCTGTGTGCAAATGCTTTTGTGTAAAAGCTCCTCTGTGTAAAGGCTTCTCTGTGTAAAAGCTTCTGTGTGCAAATGCGTCTGTGTGTAAAAACCCCTCTGTGTAAAGACTTCTTCGCGTAAAAACTTCTGTGTGAAAAAGCACCTAGATATTTGTGTGCAAAAGCTCCCTAGAGTAAAGACTTCTCTGTGTAAAAGCCCCTGTGTGTGTAAAAGCTTGCTGTGTGCAAATGCTTTTGTGTAAAAGCTCCTCTGTGTAAAGGCTTCTCTGTGTAAATGCTTTTGTGTGTAAAAGCTCCTCTGTGTGAAGGCTTCTCTGTGTAAAATAAGCTTCTGTGTGCAAACGCGTCTGTGTGTAAAAACCCCTCTGTGTCAAGACTTCTTCGTGTAAAAGCTTCTGTGTGTAAAGGCTCCTAGACGTTTGTGTGCAAAAGCTCCTTAGAGTAAAGACTTCGCTGTGTAAAACCTTCTGTGCGTAAAAAGCTCCTTTGTGTAAAGACTTCTCTGTGTAAAAGCCCCTGTGTGTGTGTGGGTAAAAGCTTCTG